TCGACACAGACAGGAATTGAACCCAGGACCCTGGGATCAGAAGGCAAGCATAGGAACAATATTTCACCTAGTATTTTGGCCTTAATTAAAAGCTGTTAAGATATTTTACATTTATTAAACTACGAAGAATAAAAGCTCTGTTGGAGATGAATATATAATATTTCTGGAGCACGTTAAGCTGGAAATTGGCCAACTTATTTTTGACATGGGTCCAAAAATACTTCAGCACAACAAATGAGAGGTACCATAAGTACTAGATAAATATGGAATTAATTGTATGAAAAAGGCCTCCTCTCTGTAGTTGGACAACTTGTTTATACAGAAAAAAAAAAAATTTGTTTAAACAAAAAAAAAAAAAAAAAAAAAAATCATGGAAAGAAGTAAACAAAAAAGCAATCATGTTAAAGACAGGAATTGCACTACATGTTTGGCAAATGCCCAAAATTCTCTCCCACACACCACAGGATAATTAAGCTTTATTGTTTAATTTTTATTTGTTTTTATAATTGTGTGTGTGGTGAGTTCTAAATTTATTTGTATTTATTTTATTGATATAGAATTCCTATAGGGCACCTATCCATATCACAAGCACTTGAGGCACAGTTCCCTGCTAATAAGATACACAACTTGCAGCTCCATCTGCCCATTTGGAACTATTTTTTCTTCTCTGTTTTTATGCTTTTTGAGTATTGCACTTGTGCAGTTACACTCTATCCTGTGGTGGTGTGTTTAGAGTAATTTTGACCTTTGACCTACTTTCTGCTGTACACTCATGCTCTGTATACTCTTGAAATTATTTAATTACAAATTTGTAAATTCCCAAGGAATTTTTTTTTTCTATGATTTGTGGATATTTTTGAACTAAATAAATAAATAAATAAAATAAATGCATGTATTTATAGTGGCGTTTCAATGGGTATTTTTGGGGGGCTTCACACTCCCCAAAAAAAGTCGGCTCCCCTCACCCCATTGTAAATGTCCGAAACAAAAAAAAAATCATGTGCAAGTAGTTAAAAACCATTTATTATAATAATTATAAGAAATGCATTATATACATAAACGCAAACATATCAAACGACATCTCAGTGCGCTTTACAAAAATTTAAAATGTATAATTTCAACAAAAAAATACATTGAAAGTACAAAGCATTCACAATTTAAACAACCATTCCAAATAAAAACACAATTTCACAATTTACATAGTCATAAAATAGATAAAAGTACGGTACAATTTTCGGTTAAAAAAACACATTTTATTCAGGGTTTTTTTTTTTTTTTACGTGGAATAATCTTCCAGTGCACATTCGATCTTCACCATCTGTGGCTGTCTTTAGTTCTAAATTAAAGACTCGCCCCTTTAATTATTAGTCTTCATTATTTATTCCTTTTCTCATTTTATTTATTGTTGCATTATTTATATATGATACTGAACTTTACCACTGCTTCTTTTAATGTGTTTACTTGTTCTGTGCTTGGGTTGCGCATTGATCATGACTGCCTGTGGGCTGTGAGGTGCTTAAGTGTGTGGGGTGCAACGCTTCGTATCTATAAAAAATAAAAAAGGTGCTTTAATAAATGATTGGATTGGATTGGATATGGTCATTTATTAACTAGTATATTATCTTGTTTGTATAAGCTATTATTTATAAAATAATCAACCTTTTTATGCAATCTATAATTTTTTTAAATTTATATACCTGTATATTGAGAAAGAGTATCACATTTTTAGTTGACCAATAATGCTAATGTTGTATTCTGAATCTCTTGTTGAAGCAATGTTTTATATCTCTCTATCTCTGTATTTTTATGGCTATTTAGTATCTAACTAAATTCATGATGTTTATGGGCCTCTGCCTTACTGCTTGTCTACTCAACTCGCCAAGCCACCCAACTCACTTATAATTTGTCATGTAAAAATAAAGTCATCTGGAATCTTGGTCAGTTTAGAAATTGTTAATTATTTTAAAATAAATATACTTTTTATTAATTTTTATCTAACCAATGTTTGTATAAAATAATTGACGTTCACAAGAAAAAATGTCAGTAATTTAATCATGCAATGCTGACATAGACTGTTTCTTATCTTTCGTGTAATACGGCCCTGTACTTTTCAACGCGCCATGACAAATTTAGACAAACATTGATTTAAACCATATTCCATTTATCATGCAAATTTATATTAGTGTTGAGGTCGTATGAATGTTCTTTATAAAATTAATGTGTAAGTTGAGAATGAAATTCTTAACTACTGTATCTACCATTTTGCAGTATTGTGTTTGTACAGTATCAAGGAGTCAATTATTCCTCGTACAGTGTTATATCAATACCTGTAGGCCAGTGGTTAATATTCATCCGTGTTTCTCTGTTTAGTCCGTTTTATTGTATCTTTAGATTAGTTTCCATAAACATTATTTTTCATTATACTTAATTCACTGTAATTCAAATCTATTGCTACAGGAAACATACACAGCTTAAAATCATTCATATACTGTACACAACATAGATCACCAATGTTAACAAAACAGTGGCGGATATCCAAGATTTTGGTCTCCCCTCCCCCTAAATCTACAAACAATTATTTTTTTAAATGGAGAAAAAAGAATTATATTAAAGTTTAAATCTGAGAGTGCCATTTTTGGCCATCTGGAGGTGCCATAATCATACGTTTTATTACTCAGCCCCAATTGTGGGTTTAGACAACCTCATCTGTCATAGGCCCTCCCAGGGCCCCCACTATTTTGAAATCCTGGATCCACCACTGCAAAAGATAACTTTGTTATCATCAGATAATACATGTTTAATAGATGGGACAAGTGGAAATGAGGGTAATTGAGTAAAAAAAATGAAAAGTAAGGAGGAGTTTGATCCGGAAGAAGATGAATTGACAATACCTGTAGAATATTTTTGTTTAGGTCTTAATGATGTTATTAAGTCTGACTCATGTGGCTGACATATAGATTTCCATACTGTAGGTTTGTAGTCTGGTACTTTTTCAAACAGTGTCGTATCGATGAGTGTTTTATCTGTTGCTGATGGGGATGCAGTATTCGACTAGTCGTTTGTTTTTAAACCACACCTGCCTGCACAGTGGTAATATCCTACAACAAAGATGAACAGACGAATAGAAAACTGTTAAATACAAAATGGCTGTGTAGTTATCACGATACTGTCTAAACCTTAGTCAAGATTGCTTCGGTTTGTGATAGTTGGGGGTACATTGTCAACAAATAGTTATTATTTTTGGTATAAAATGGATAGGTGTTACTGAAATAAATGCCTCTTATTTTCACTTTAAATATGGAACAACAACACATAAATACCACCAAAATGTGTTATTGGGTGATCATAAAGACTTATTATTGATCCCAACCAGGTTAGAAAAAATGTAATTCTGCTGTAGTAGATCATTAATAGAATGTGTTGAGAGTGATGTTGCTTCCATTAGATTTGTTTACAGTCATTTAGGGGGGCAATTATTCAAGGAAAAAATAAATACCTTGGGGCATTTATTCGAGTGAGGTGCTCATTCCAAATGCAGCTCTAGAGGGGGTGTTTATATGAGCGTGGCATTTATTCAAAGTGGGGTGTTTTTAGAGTATATACAGTATTCAAACACTAAAATATCAACTGAATTTACAGGTAGAAAGTGGTCAGCATCATTCCATGATTGCTCTTCAATGAATGAAACTCACTCATTGTCCAATGCGCAAATCACACTTTGTCTCCAGATATTTTACTTGTGGAAATGCAATGCATCTTAAGCTATTCGACTCCAATTTACACATTTATTAATTTAAATTAAAGTTTAATAAGCAATTTGCACACAAGAAGTGCTTATATTTACTTGGAATAATCTTTCTTACAATATTCACATTAAGTTGTATTCACTCTCATTAGTTGATAAAAAAGAGGGGAAAAAAAGAGAAAAAAGCTCAATCAATATTAATAAACAATTTTGAAAACAACATTTTTTACTTTACCACACATATTTATTTAGATACACAGACGGCTTACATTGTCTATATCAATACCATTAACATATTTTTAATGTTCTCCTATATTTCCAATAGATTATTTAAATTTTTATATTATGTACATTTAAATGGCTAAAAAATAAAATAATTCAAATCATAAATTTACATAGATTATTTTTGGTTTTAACTTTCATTATGGATAGCAGATGCCAGCATATTTATTTAAAAAGACAAATGGATTATGTTGTCTACAACAATATCAATAATAATTAATTTCAGTGTTTTAATTGTTTAAATGTATTTGAGTACTAGTAATTATTACTGGTATTATAATTCACTGTTCACTTTTGTATAATTTGTATATCACTTATTTCATTTTTTATATCATGTAGTGCATTTGAATGTCATACAAATTTAATAAATTGAAATTGTAATATTCGAATAAATAATTTTAGTTATTATTTGTGGTTGTAACCTTTACTTTGGTTGAATGGAGGTTATGGTGTGCTATATAAATTATTATAAGTCAATCGTACTGAAGTCGAAGTAATCGTATTATAAGTCAATCGTAATGCATTTCCTTCAGGCCTTTGCAGGCCCTCAGGAATTTTTTTCTTGCACTAATCTAACTTTTGTATAATAATTTCCACTAGTGTGTGATATACAACTATACTAATTGCTTATTATTATTATTTGCCAAATTTTTGTCCTTGTGGCCTCTATTCTTACATAAGGTAGCATAACCCATCATATTTCTCCCCACCCCAATGAATGTTCCCAACCTCAGGAGTATCCCATTACATTAAATGTAACCATTCCCAGAGAAAGTTTCCCAACCCAGTTAGTATGCTCCCGAACACATGACCTACAAAATATTTAATCATGAAATATTACTTTAACTGTCAAAAGGAAGACTTCCCAGGATGGGATAACTTCCTCCGGGAATGGAACTTTCCTGTTTGTGTTATATCTCCATATTTGACAAGTGTGATTAATAATTCTTCACATTTTTGTATCTCTTTACAGGAGTCCGCGTCAGTCATTCTTCAAGTACCCGTTGGACAGCATAGCGACACGGTTGTTGTGTTACTTGGAACAGTTGCTTGCGTGTTCGTTGGTGTGTTATATCTTATCTACATCTTGTTGAAAACTACTCAAGAGCAAAAGTTACATTTGGATAGTTGAAGTTAATAATGAAATCTGAATCTGATCTGACCTGTTGCCCTAGTTCAATTCAGCCCTATCGCTGTCTTGTGCAAGTCTCAATCAATTGCCTACCTGTATCTTATACACATAAATTGTAATAATATTTTCATCAGTGACATATCTAGGGGATTATCGTGGAGGATGATGGAGAGGTGCATGATAGAAAAATGTGGGGCACTCCTTGGGGTATCGATGTAATATTCTAGCCGTGGGGTCGTGTCAATATTTTAAACAACTTGAGCATAACTGCATTTGAGCAAAGCATAGGGAAACATTTTTTCTGGGGCTTGCATCGCTAGATAGGTTGAATGGTCCTTATTGAAATGTTATATTTTTATTATTATTTTAATGTATTTTATCTGGTTTGTGTATGATACTTTTTATGAATTTGAATGTAATTGTTGTCTTTTTGTACTGGCCTGTGGGAGACAATTAGAGGACCTACTGAACATTTGCCCAAGTATAAAGAAATAAATAACCTAAAATCATTTTTATAATGTTTTATTAATACCATAATTTACTATATATGCTCATTGTCTATTCATTCTTGTAACCATATCTGGTAATAGAAACCTAGAAACTGTTTACATTTGATCCTTTATTTTTGTATAGTTTGATTACTTTCAATTGAAACTTTTAAAAAAAATTGATCAAAACTCTGTAATATTTTATTCCACTACCAGGTTTTGTCTGTTTGCTTTCATTAACATTAAATTGGTTCTTTTTTTATATTTAAGTTTATAGGCATCCATATATTTTCCTTAAATAACTGATAATTTTTTTATTTCTAATATTTATTTTCTTTTCTATGTGATCCTCTAGTGAAAACGGAGCTGCATATCCCTGAAAGTGTTATCACAATAAATAAAGAAGTATTGTTTACATGGTTTTAGTATTAGGAATAAATAAATTTTATATGTAAATACATTGAGTGTTTTAGAGTAAAATGATTTGAGCCCAGGACTATGGGTGATGGCAGTCTAACCACAAAATCTGTTTTATAATGGAAAATATATTTCTACATACTAGCTCTAGTAAAAAATATCTCTGACCTTTTAAAGAAGTAATTTCTTCTTAAAGAATATCTGGAAAAACATATAAGAATTAAATTAAGACATTTAATTGATCATTAAAAAGATCAAAAAGGTGTCAATTTCTGGCAAGACCTGACAGATTTACAGATATTGCTACGGAAATCCTTAAATTGTCTGGCAACCAATTTAAGGATACATCAAGCATTAGGTATTATTTATGCCTCTGTTAATTGGATTTTTTTTTCCATTCCAATAACAGATCCACACAAGAAAAAAATGTTACACACGTCCCCTGCTAGGAAAATTTTAGTCACACATCCGTGTGTCCGTGTGAATGCCAGTGTTTAAAATTAGCCTGTGTCCGTGTTATATTCATGTCAGAAAACCAGACAACACGGAGGTAAGCTGTATTAGCATGTATGTGCATATTCAGAGGACTTGGCTTACCTTTCACTGCGGCGTCGCGCACGTCTTCACTGCCTGCGTTTTAACATGCTAATTCACTTGTGTGAAGTTAATGGTAACTTGGTAGGGATATCTTGTCCAGTCCATGTAACAATTAGCATACATCCCCTGTAAAAGTTTGTCTCGTGTATTGGGTGTTAATAGCAATAACTTAAGTTATATACAAAGTAAATATGATTTTTTTAAATCTTTAAGTTTTAGTGTATAATGATTTGAATCCAAGACGTTGGCATTAGATCGGTGGCAGCCTTTATGTGGCAAAGACCCTTGGAGGCCATGCAAAGACAAGCCAAACCAGTCACTCGTTGCAAATCTTGTTTTGGAGATAATGGCCAAAATATGCTGGATTGTCAACATATTTTAAATCTATTTTATTGCACTAAGCTTAATCTTTATATATCTATCTATACATCATGCTATGTTGTTATTTTCCCCATTTTCAATGTTAAAACAACAATTTGTTGATGGTTTCTGCCCGAGAAATTCCCGAAATTGTAAACTTTAAAGGCTGATTTCTCAAATATTGTTCTTTAAACAGCTGTATGTTAAACTTGCTTCATAACGAAATGTCTCATTTTACTGTTTAACACTGTATTACTAACAAAATTTTTTTTTGGCGAGGATTGACTGGTTTGACTTGTCTTTTGCCACATATATAAATAATTTTCATCTATATTGGAATTTAACCCAAAATTTGGTTTGGAAAGGAAAACACACTAAAGTACAGCATTACTTCACTAATAATTAGTCTACAAAGCTGTTTCAGTGTCTTGTTCTTGTGTTAAAGCAATTTTTTTTTTAATAGGAAGGAAGAAACCTTGGTTAATTGCCCTACTTCAGTAATTTCTGTAAAAATTCAAAAGGTTGCAAAAGTGCAAGCCAGAAAGTACAACGATCAAAGAGCCGACATTTTATGCGCTATAGATCAATGGCATTACGCATAAAACAATTTGTACTTGCGCAGACGTTGGCCTGAATCAATCAATCACACATTCATAATTTCCATACAACAATATAAAATACCTAATAAATTTAAATATGTGGGTGATATTGAACTGTTCAATCAAATAAATTATTTCATTTCTAATGTGATCAAAAAGACAAGCCAAACTAGTCACTCGTCGCAAAAATTGATTGTTAGTTAATACAGTGTTGAACAGTAAAATGAGAGCTATAAAATGTAAAAGAATCATTTAAATCCAACATTTCATTATGAAGTTAGAAGTGTTTAAACATACAGCTGTTTAAAGAACAATATTTGAGAAATCAGCCTTCAAAGTTTATGATTTTTGGAATTTCTTAGGTATAAACCATCACCAAATTGTTAAAAATTGATGTTTTAACATTTAAAATGGGGAAAAAAACAGCATATCATGATGTATAGATATATGAAAGTTAGTTTAGTGCAATAAATAATAGATCAGCATGTTTTGGTCATTATCTCTGAAACACGATTTGTGACGAGTGACTGGTTTGGCTTGTCTTTACCACATAGTTCTACATATTGTATATAATTTTGTTCTGTTTAAACTGTACCACTTTGAAAATCAGTGTAATAGAACTGAAAGTGCCTACAGTATAAAGAAAGAATAAATAAAATGAATATATAAGTGTATAAACCTAATAACTCTCTCCTCTCGATTGAAAATTGAATTTCAGTTTCTCTCGGTAATTTCAGTCCATGATTCAGTTTTTTTGTTTTTCTGGGTTTTTTTTTTTGTTTTTCTTCTGTTGTTTCATTTATCTTTTTGTGTTTCAGTATCTTCTAAATATTTTACCTGTATTTTAACATTTGTTATTAATTTTTTAGTATTAATCCTCTTTATCTTTTAAGTATTCAGTAGTTTTTGTAGTCAATTTTTGTTAGTTAAAAGGACAAATGCTACCTTACTTCATTGTAGCTTTGTCATAATTTTGATTTAAATCAAATTAGTTTTAAGTTTATTAGACTTTTTTTTTGTACTTGATAGTTTATGGTGTTGTTATTATACAATTGACTTTGTCAATGTACATTTTTATTTTTAATTTAGTTTAATAAGTTTTATACAATTGTATTTATGTACCTCACGGCCTTTTGTAAGAATATCCAATGGGTGAAAGAGTCTCGTGAATAAACAAAGATTATTATTATTATTCTTTTAAGAATTAAGATAAGCATTGTAATAATTTTTTTTGATGAATGAATATATATGATTTTGACTTAATGATAATGATGGTAAAATGTAATTACAGTACTGTATTTACCGGTATATTGTTGTAAACTTAATGATATTATTAATGGTGACAAACATCACAATGTTAGCTGGGGGAAAAGGCTTATAAATAAATAAATAAATGAATATTTAGAAATTATGAAACTTGTTTTGTGTCTATTCTGTAACAAGTACAAGATTAATAAATATTCTAGTTACTGAATTTCATCTCACTAATTGTTGCGTGAAATAAGACACAGTACGTCCCTAAATACTAGCGAAAAAAATTTGCAAGTGATTCGGGTAGGAATTTGGTATGACAACACGTTAGATAGGGCAAAACGTCACTCCTGTGATATTTTGCTGACGCAAGTTCATATTTTTATAATAATAATAATAATAATAGTTTTTCTAAATTGGACATAAGGGGAATATCTTTTGTGTTATTTTCACCTTAACATCATTTTTTTCATTGTTCTCTAATTTCTCCATTGTCTAAGTTCCACCTAAAGGTTTTATTTTTATTAACATAATATTAATGATAATAATAAAGCGAAAGATTTATATAGCGCCTGTTCCAAATCAACAATGAGCGTTATTACCACTGGTCGCTGGATCACATACGAAAAACCAGCACAAACTGCAAACTTCTCTACTCCCTGAGGAGTATACCCAGTCGTTCGCATGTACTCAGCACAATCAATGCCACAACATTCTACCAGGTATTCATTTATACTCCTGGGTAGAGAGAGACAAACATAGATAAAGTGGCTTGCCCAAGGACACAAGCGACTTGCACAGCGAGAGTTTCGAATCCCTGACCTCAAGGTTGGGAGTCCAAGCCACAACCGATGCGCCAGCTGCTACTACATAAAATGTAGAGTATCCAGTCTGAGATTAAAACAGGTTTATTTTAATTACCATCTGTTGCATCTATGTTTTGCACCGGATTTTGTTATTATGCCTTAAAAAAAAAATATATCCATATAATGCTAACACTTCCATTGTCATCATCACATCATAATTATCATCATCATGACATATGATTATCATCAATATCACATCATGATTATTATCATTATCACATTCAACATCAGCATCCCCATTATTAGCATCACCATCATCATCATCATCATCACCATTATCATTATATTTAATCATTATTATTATCAACAACACTATCTATCTTTCCCCAATTTTTTAACTCCTCTGAGTAAAATGACAAAAAGACGCCTTCCTAATAAGATCTTTTTTGCTGTTTGAAGAAGGAAAATGTGTTGTCCATACCCAGTACAATTTGTTTTTAATAATAATAAACCAAACAATAATTTACCAAAATTATATTATTTATGTATGCAAGGGTCCTAAGTCGATGACAATGGGTGATCACCAAGCGCAAAAAAATAAAATTTTATATGTTAAGAATGCTCATTTAAACAGATCTACCGGAAATAGCTTCTTTCAACCTGCAACCCCCCTGTATCTGTTAATTGAAGAGTGCATGTTTGACCATTTGAAATCATTCGTAGTAATGCCATATCCAGATGGTAATCATAATGATAATGGAATCAATTAAAACATTCTTCAATCAGCTTTACAGAGTGCCAGATCCATCATTTTGTTTAATAAATCAGTAAATGTTTTTTTTTTAATTCGCACCATCACATTTTGTTAAAATGTGGGTCAGTTTTCATGAACTCTGTATTTTACATACAATTTCATGATGAAATAAATTTAATTTAAATATTTATTTACTATTTTTTATGATTATTTTTTTTAACAAACCTTAGTTAAGTTTAACAGAATAAATTTATTAAATTTATTTTTTTAAAATATTTATTTGAACAATATGTTTTTAATTTCTTATTTCAACTAACATTTATGTTTTTATAATTGTTTGAATATAAAATTAAATAATTATTGGTTATAAATATTTATTATTTATTGAATATATGCAAAATTTGTATTATATTGAATTTCATTTTAAAGGTTTATTTAAATATTTATACTGATTGATTTAACTGAGCGACATTTTATGACATTAATATTTTATAATTAAATGAGAATATGATGAAGAAAGGGAGATAGATTTCAAAAGTGAATTAAATCTTGATGCAAGAAACACGGTCAAGTGAACCTTCATATGTCACGGATGATTCAGACGGTTTATCTGACCAATGCAACTCAACATCTAAAACTATTTCACTTTTGTAATAATAATTGAAACAAAATGATTAGAATTAAATTAAATTTGTAGGTTGGGAAAAGGATTTTTCTTATCTAGCAATTTACTTATACCTTTTCTTGTGCGAACAAACCAAAAACTACCAATTTTAAAGACCTTTAACTTTGTTGTTTCATATGGTAGACCGTGCTTATCTATGATTAATGTTTCTCTGTATGTGTGGTGTTAAATATATTATGTAAATTATTAATTTAGGTATGTTTCTTAACTTTTTGTTCATAACTTAAGGTTGTTCACCTTAACGTGGTCCTAACTGCCAAGGTATGGTGAAAAAATATCTAAAAGCGAAAACTGTTCACGCCACACGTCAGAAGTGTTATATGTCGAAATTGACGTTGATCTCTGTCTGCACCACGCCAAATATTATCCCAGCAGACAATCAAAAATTAATCGTCATTTTTGCCCTCCTTTACCCTCCCAAAAGACCGGCCGTTCTGCTACGATGCAATGAATGACATTAATGGACAGGTGCTATATAACGTTTCAAACTTGCATCAATTTACTTGCCAACTTTTCCGAGGAAACGTGAAATTGTTTATTCCTCGACAATCACAACTAATTTTAATACCAATCAATAGAATCGGCCTCTATGCTTATGTATGTTATTAAAGAACTGTAATTAATACAGAGCCTTTCCACTGTGACATATGGCCTAGTTAAAGTTGGCCTACTTCTGCAAAAACAAGTATTAGTACGAGTAATTAAGTCTCTAGACTGAAAACCATCATAACATATTTAATACTTAAAATAACATGTAAGAAGATACCAACATAACATTGTTTTAATCTCTTCAAGAAGTATTGCCATTACTATTTATAACCAACAAGTTTTGAGATACATTTTACATTTTCTAACCAAGATCTTAAAGTAATTAAAGTTATCATTGAATAATTTTCTCCATTATATTAACTTTATAAATGATTATATATATGAAAATATAGTCAATTGTGATATTTCTACTAGTGTATGATACGCAACTATACTAATTGCTTATTATTTTTTAACCATATTGTTTGTTTTATAGATATTAGTGTTCTGCTAATAAAGCATTGAAGTTTGATGTTTAATAATAAAATTCCATTTACATAGCATCTCACACACAAAAAAACATAAAAAAAATGTTGACTCATGACAATTACAGCACAACACAAATGCAAATTCTGCAAGAGGACAGCACCATCACCATTCAAACATTATTTGGATTGTATGCTTTGTATTATTATTAATCATAATAATAATAATAATAATAATAATTATTATTATTATTATTATTATTATTATTATTATTTATTATAATTATTATTATTATTATTATAATTATTATTATTATTATTATTATTATCATTATTAGTCCTCAAATTTCAATTGAAAGGAACATGAAAATGAAAAGATATTTTAATCTTAACCAATTAACAGGTATAAATCATTATAATCATCATCGGTAGCCAGTCTCGAAGGACTATGCATCAGGCACCCATGAAGAGGGATATATACTATTTGAATTATTTATTTATTTTATAAGAATGTTAAAATAAAAATGTAAATACACACCATAGAAGGTTGATCTGACAACATTGAGGAGCACTTTAATAATAATATTAATAATAATAATAATAATAATAATAGTAATAATAATAATAATTATTATAATAATAATAATAATAACAATAAATACTAATAATTATTATTATTATTAATAATAATAATAATAAATAATAATAATAATAATAATAATAATAATAATAGTCTCTTCATTTATACACAGTTTAAATCCAAATTAAAAATAGAAAATACAATATCAAAAATGGATTATATAATGTTGTTCTTCCTT